TTGAGGCCCCTATTGGCATCATTTTATTAAGATAATATTCACCCTGAAATTTTATCCCTAACAAGTCAAAATCCTGCGGGGCAATTGGCAACAAGCGAAAAGTCGCTTTTACATCACACTGACTTAAACGGGCAAATGTTTTGTGTCTATTAATCAAACATGCTGCTTCGTCCACTGAACTGTACTGCACTGAGCAATGATCTTTATCAATAAAATCATTTATTGAATTATTCTCAGGATAGGATAAATGTTGAATAAGTCTAAAATCCCCATTCTTGTTTGGCACTAGCCCCATTGCTGTACCTGAAGTGCGGGAAAAGGCGGGTATCTGAAAGGACCAGCAATGCGACCAAGTTTAACTTCTTTCATTATTTTTTCTTTAAAAATGTTGGATAGCTGTAATGCACTTTTTAAATTGGAACTCTCCCTTGGTTCCCTAGAGCCAAAATATTTCAATGAAAAACCATATTTGAAACCAGATATAATTTCATGTGCTACATTGTTATGTGGGTAAACTTCTAAATAATTTTCCAAGACCGATACTTTAACAGGAGTATTTCCTAATGAATAAAAACTAATACTTTTTGTTACTTCTTCCTTGGGCCCGAGTATTACATTGGGCCTTTCTGTGTTTGCCACTGCATATTTCACATACATGTTTAAACGTACAACGAGGGAAGTAGGGACAGTCATTACCATTATTATAGTATTTACGTGACACTTTCACTAGTTACCTGTAATTGTTGATGTGTTCACGTGTTAGTGTTTGAAAGTGTAGCTGCATTTGAGTTATAATGACCACGATTTTGCGTATTTGTTCTATAACCCTGTGATTGAACTGACACATTGTTTTGTACTGTGGGAGATGTGATGTGTAATAGCCAATATTCACCGTGTATGTTTCCCCAAGATAAATTTGGATTTTTTTCTATTTTTAGCCCATATAGGTGGCCCAGTTTTCTGACCTCGTTGCCGCTAATCTTATATCGCGCATATATTTTAACAATTCCTGTGCCCGTGTCCTGTATTTCTCAATGTAGACACTCATAAAAACCATGAATGCTGAAGTCCATTCATTTATGGACAAATAAACACCCGGCGATCTTTTTTCAATGCAAATTTTCCCCCTTTTTAATTTCAAATCGCCCTCGTCAACCTCCTCTATTTCTTTTTGCGTTCTCAAAAGATAATGAAACTCTATAAACTTTCCCTCCCAAATCTTTTTCTTAATTTTAAAAGGCACGTGTTCCCCTACTGTGTCATGAATGCCAGACTCTTGTGTCGGAGTGAAATCAATGGAATTATTTGCCATTTCAAAATTTTAGTGTGACGAGTCGTGCCTAAAAGAGGGGAATGCCCGTGCATCCTCCTCTGACTCATTACCTGATGATATTTCAGCATTTTCTTCTGGTCCTTGTGTCTCCACGTGTCCCACCTCCTGTGTTTTCCTGACCATTCTTTTCCGTCCAACTCCGTCCTTCTTTTGAGTGATTTCTTCGTTCCGCGCTCTCTGTCCTTTTTTCCTGGTGGTCGTCCTCCTCTTCTTTCCAATGGCCCTTGATGGCAATCCCCTGGCATTTCTTTTGTTTGGCATCTTTTCGTTTAAATAATTTAACTAATTTCTGCAGCACCTGCTTTGTTGTCGACAGCAAATTAACAAGTGCCCGATACGGGAATTCCAAAATTCAGATTCCACCTGAGAGCGCCATCTATGGTCATGCCAAATATGGTAATGAGCTAAAGGCTGCAACACCTACACACCCACCCAATATTTGAATGAATGAAAATATAAAATCTATTATTATCATTATGTTTACTAACTTATTGGTGTTACGACATTTATCATACTTCGAAATTTTGTGGAGGGTGCCGTGACTTATTTGTTTAGCTATGATTTAAATCAACAAAACTACGATTAGAAGGCCATTAAATACCTCATCATGTTGATCGTATTTAATGTGAAACTGATGCGAATGGTTGACTGAATTACGTAATGCAATGATGTTTTTTTTCTTCGTTGATTGGATATTGATTTTTGGGTTACCTTTAAGTTTTTTACGAGTTGTTGTAATTTTTGTTAAGTTTTTCCTAAATCTATTTTTCCAGTCACGGGCCAGAAGTTGGCTTCCGTATCATAGGAAGATTTAGCAGGTTATTCGAAGTTGGAATTTACTTGGAAACATGTATTCTGAGAAATGGAAACATATACTGCAAACCAACTAATTTTCGCTAGCAATTTATTTTATAGAAATAGAAATAGAATAGAAAATATCGCGAATATAAATCTTCACAAACATGTAGACTGAGATATTTCCTTATTTAACTACATCTAGTAAATTAAAAAAATCGCAAAGTTATATCGCCGCGAAACTGGCATGAAAAGACTAAATGCAAATGAGGTATCCGCGAAAATATGTTGGTTTTCAGTAATCATTTGCTAATCGAATGATTACATCTTATATAGTTGTCATCGTATGCAATTATCAAAATATTGCAAAGCAATAATTGTTAAACGCCTTGCTGGAAAATATTATGATAAAATTTTAATCACTGACTAACACATATCTTTGTTTCAAACTTATTATAAGTTGAACTAAGAGCCTTTTATAAATAAAAATAATCTTTTCATATCAGTCGTTTAAGGGAATCTGTTAATTGTTTTAACCAAAAATACTTTTAATTAAAGATAATCATTTGCAGGTTTCCTAGGTGGGGTATATACATTGCATGGACCACAACTATCCTGACATCTTTGATTTCATCATACTTTGTAATGCTGTACGGATTACAATATGGCTACTATGAAAGTTTGAATTGGCTGGTGTCCTTTTTGACCGCATTTGTTGATGATTGTTTTGTGATGGAACCAACCAGTGTTGTCTTTTTTGCATTGTTTTTTACATATCTATTGAAAAGAAGAAACATAACTTATTATAGACCAGCCTTAATTGTACGAGAATTTGAAGGTAAGTTTGACAATTTGAATACAATAATGAAGAAATAATCAAGCTAACGTTAGAGAACACTGGCTTAGGTCAACAATGCGTTAGTCTCCTACCGCCGACGACGCCGAAGGTAACATTATTTATATTTGCTTTCTTTCCTTCAGCCAATAAGCCATTCAGTAAGTCAGTCTGTAAGACAGCTCATATATATGGTACGTTTTCGGCACTTTTTCTAAAATATTTCATACTATTCAAGAGATATTTAGTAATTAGTGATATCTATCATCTACAGATCATACTTGCGTTATTTTTTTTAGTAATGTTATTGATTCTGTTGTCTCTGAACATAAGTAAATGCGGCGATTTCTAAGATTTATGCATTTTTTTTACTTAATGCTGAAACCAATTGCTTAGATATTTGATTTATTGACCTAATATAAAAATGTTGTTTTCCCATATAATTGTAAACGTATTCAAAGTAGGGGACATTGTAAATAGAATGCCATGAGACTGCTCATTTGGTCATTGTTATAAGTGATAAAAGTAAAAATATTGAAAACACCTTAAAGGAGTGTGAAGTTGAGATATGGAGAATAGAATAAAGAATGGAAATTGGTGAGTAAATGCATATTGATCTAAAAACTCAGATGCCCAGGAACGAAACTGTCAATCTTAAAAACAATATAAAAAAAAAGTGCAGGAACTTTGGATGAAGTTAGACAATGTTTGTGACAAGGTACAGAATATCTGCCATGCACAAACTGCAATTCAAACGATATTTTTAAGAGCTTGTTCATGAGAAAACCATGCAACACAGTCCGGAAGCAATATTTGCAAATCTTCATGAAATCTTGTTTGTACATTGTTGTAGGTTAACATGATTAGCCTCACCACATCTATGTCATATAAACTTTCAGTCTGGTTTATATCTCTGCGGTAGAATACACGCCCATAAATTTCTAAAATTTATGAGAAAACCAACTGAAAATACACATGATACACAAAAAAAAAACATATTTTGAAACAATATCTATTATAACCATAAACATACAACCAATAAAAGTGGCATTAGATGTAACACAAAATACAACAACCTCTTCATAAACATATCTGCCAAAAAAAATATTGAAGTAGCAAAGGGCATATAACAACAAAACCAAGAAACCATCCATGTAAACAGACTGTAAAAAATTACAGATTTAAGACAATTGTACATGTTGTACGTTTGCTATTTTTGACATTGATTGAATGTTACAAGTGAGCTGAACGCTGAGACATTGTTACGATCAACGAAAAAAGTAAAATAACAGAAACACCGAACTCCAATGGATATTCAAAAAGAAAAGTCATTTATAGAATGGCAAAATCAAAAGACCAAACACATCAAACATATGGAAATCAATTGTCATATTTCTGACCTAAATAAAGGCATTTCCTTATGTAGAAATTGGTGGATTTTCCTGGTTTTATACTCAACCTCTCACTTGTATAACAGTTGCATAATATTCCATTATATTGCCAACAATGTGTGAGTAAAGCAAAGAGACGTAATAAGTTAACACGTAAAAAAATAGGCTACAGCAATCACTGTATTTTTCTATAGATGTTCGGTCATATTTTTAAATTCTGTTGAAGTAGATTTTAACGATAAGACCGTAACTAGGTTATTGCAATTTATATAACTAGAACAAACACATGTGTATCTTATCGTCTAAAACTTGGCCTCGAACATCACTGTCATATTAAAAAGGACCCGACTTGAAAAATATGAAACAAAGTATTAGGGAAGAGCAACGGCCTCATCTAAAACACATAAATTTATGTAAAACAAATATGAAACAGTCATGAACTAACGACAACCACTAATCGTCATCATCTGAAAGTCATAAATCAAGTGTTACCACGAGAAAAGGTCCAATTTGATAATCCTGACCACTAGTTTTTGATTATTAATTCATAATAGACATAATAATGCATGTCTCGTATATCAATACATAAAATCTAAACTCTTAACTGATATATTTTGTTTCATTGATCTTTTAATTCCAGATAATTACAGCTATTGGCCAAAACGATCCAAAAAGTGGACCTTTATCCCAGAGCAAGCTTCAAAGAAACATCTGAGGAAAGCAAAACAAGAATTTGACTTTAAAAACAAAGTTCACACAAAACTTCAAGACATTATTATTTATGTCATTTTTACAATTATGCTGTTATTTGTTGTACACAACCAACGTCCCGTGGAGAAATGTTTCCAGCAGTCACAAGTTATCAATAATATTTTCATCAAAAAGAAAATAGAAAACGTAAGTAAGAGAATCTTGGAAGGCAGTACAATTGTAAATGAATCTTAGTCTTAAACTGTCAGTTTAATTTTGACATAATCTCATTTGAAAAAGTCGGAACAATAAGTAGTTGAGTCTTGACGAGTTGTTTAATCAATCTTCCGACATATCCACTGTCACAGTGGTAAATTCGGTACTGTTCAGAAAATTAACTTGCAGTGACTGTTCAAAAATTCAACTTGCAGTCATTTCAGGACTCTTCAGTAACTTTTCAGACAAAAGAGTATGATATTGAAGCACATCTGATAAAAAACAAATACTGAACATATACTGAATAGATACAAGAAGATGTGGTATGAGTGCCAATGAGACAACTCTCAATCCAAGTCACAATTTGTGAAAGCAAACAATAATAGGTCAAAGTACGGTCTTTAACACGGAGCCTTGGCTCACACCGATTAGCAAGCTATAAAGGGCCCCAAAAAATTGCTAGTGTAAAACCATTCAAACGGAAAAACCAACGGTTTAATCTATATAAAAACGAGAAACGAGAAACATTTATGAACCACATCAACAAACAAGAACCACTGAACATCAGGTTCCTGACTAAGTACAGGTGCAAACAAATTCATCGGGTTTAAACGTTTTAATAGGTACCAACCAAATCTTATTGACTGCAAGCGAATTGTTTGATCCGTTCTGAAGTAACCGCATTGGAGAAGTCTGAAAATTAACTAAAAGACTAAAATAAATTAACAATGCATTTTTCCATTTGTTAAAAGAGCTGTACTGGTCAAAAATTACCCTTTGAGAGGCAATGATTGATCAAAGTCAAATAAGATGCAAGAGTACTGTACCACTGCTCAAATTTTGTAAATCAAAAAAAAAAAAAATACAAATCAAAGATAAAAAAACCCTTGAAAAACTACATAATTTATCTGCACTCCATAAGTAGTGATTAAGTGTGTTTACTGGGTTAGCGTCTCCTGCTTTGCATACAACCGAAAACAGGACACAACCATACAAATTACAGATTAGAAGACTGTACGTTGGGACTTAAGATATAAGACCGCGAAAACTTATCACCTGTGAAATGAGAAACCGATTCTTCGTATCCGTCCACGAACTTGTTATGGTTACCGAAGTAGTGTTTTCAGTTATTCCTCCTCGTATAGCAGTTTGAGCAGTGTCTGTGCAACAAGCACACCCCTGAAATCTGTATAGCGTAAACATGCCTGAGCGTAATCTAATAACCTCGATATGTTAATGCATTCGATTGAGTTGAGGTATGTAAGTTCTCAGAAAATGAAAATAGACAATTAGTCTTAAATTCAAGGTCAAAATCGTATATCTGTGCCTATATCGAAAAAAATTATCGAGCTATGAAGCATACCCTTTACTTCCGGAAGTATACATTATCTCAAATTCACAGGGATATAAAAAAAGTCAGCACTCGCTGAAATATGGCTTATATAGTGACATTATCCTCTTCGGCTAAAGATTTTCTATGACCTAAAACATTGCATTTGTATCTACTAAGTACTTTTCTTTTTTTTTGTAGTACTAGTTCAGTATAATGAGACATCATACATTTATATTAGAAGTTTTACAGATAGTAGTGTTTTTTTTTCCTTTCTGTATGATACCTAGGGCACAGTGTCTCTAGGGAAACAGGTAGTACCCCTGAAATTTAGAACAAAAAATCCTTTAACATAACAATTGGCAGAAACATAACATTTAGGACTATAATCATCACTGCAACAGTTGCTGAACTCAAGGTTTATAATTTTGCTTTGTTCCCAATTGCTGGACAAGGGTACAAAACAAACGAAATGTGTTTTTATTTATCAAGAACATAATGGAATAATGTAATGTTTTCGGGATAGGAAGTTTATACTTGAATCAATGCATGCATTATATATTGGATTTGAACAGATGATTTTAAAAATGTTGTATGATAGTGGGGGTTTGGTCTAAGAAGAGGGAAAAACAGAAAATTTGATTACCAGAAGTCTACTTACACTTTTGACGGAATAAACTTCATATCTGGTGTAAAGATTGTAGTTTGTAGCCAACGTCATCATGTACATATCTGGTGTATAATTTGCACACGGTAGCCAATGTTTCAAAATTTAAAATTTTTCCCTGAATGATTAAAACACACTAAAATGTTTCATTCGCTATCAAGTAAAGCAGTTATACTGTGAAATATTGCATAGACTATTAATGCCATATAGAATTAGACATTGGAACTGTAATCAAAGTTGTACAAACATATCCAACAGAATGTGCCAATATTGTCGTATAACCCCATGAGGCAATTCTCAAGGTGAATGCAAACCAAAAAATATAATTGTTTATTCCAGTAACTTGTTTTCCTGTATTTCAAAAAAGGTCGAAATATTAACAAAAACAATAAACATCTTTAAATGTAAACTTAAAGACAAGAGAGAAAGCAAACATATATCAAAACATCATAACTATTTATTGAAACAATGGTTGTTCTTAAGGCTGATAAATACACAAAAGCTGACATTAAAATCTAATTTGTACATTGTTACGCATTTTATATCTAAATATGGCTTTGCAGGTAAAGACACGTGGTGATATCTGGACTTATATCAAGGAAAATGTAATTCCGCCATTGAGTAAAACAATACCATATGAAACGTCAAGGAAGATTCCAGAAAATGATTTTCTACTTATAGGAAAATTTCGTTTGAGACAGATAAGGGTTCCAAGAGGTAATACAAGAAAACATTGATGGCTAAGGTCAATGCCAATCTATAGTTGATACATATTCAGAAGTATGCCTTACTCATGTTACTGTTCTGCATTTCTGTATTTTAATCCTCCTCTAGGTTTTCGCTTTTTTATTAATTCCTTTTTTCTTGTAACTCCCAAGTCTTGTAACATTGCAGACGATGTATGCATATCAGGAGTTGCTTACTTTAGTCTTTATTAAAGAAACGTTTTGGGTAGAATTCCATCAAATTTCTTAACGTATACGTTTAAATTTTCAAGACATGAGATCTATTATGGGAATAATTTTCATTGTTTATTTGGATATATTCAATTAAAGAAGTGTTTTAAATGAAATATCTTTTGTAACATTTGTAAGTAGAAAAATTATAAATTAAACATATTTACCTTCTGGGTGATATTAAGATTTGTTCAACCCCGAATCGTCATATTTACCTCCTGTACTTTAATATGAATTGCATGCAAACTTACATTTGTGGCAGGATAAAATTAAAATCCTTAATGATGTTTTTTTTTCTCTTTTTAAAGGATATTATTAATATATCAATTTGTGTATGGTTCTTTAAAATCATATACGAAATAGGTGGGGACGTGTCCATGCTTTTTTATATATGTCCATTTCAAACATTTTTGTAATGAAAACTGTGTCGATTTTTCTGAGGATATGGGCGCGTAAATGGGTTCTTTATTGCACGAATAATAAATACTTATGCACTAAAAAAAACATTTTTATAAGATAACTATCTTTAGTTTGAAATAAAGTATTTTTGGGAAAAACGGTGTGCTTCTTTAATTTAGTCTTATTTAGTCTTATTTAAAGTGCATATTGAAATCATCATGGTAGGTAGTTTTTTTAAGACTTGCATAACTTGCAGCACCCTCAAGCAAACCTGAACTGCGATGACTGTTTCTGTTATGTTTTCATCATTTTCAATATTGTATGTTTCTATTTAGATAGAACAGGTATTCATGAACAAATTTGATTTTTTTCAGACAGCTGCAAGTTTCCAGATAAGTTGAAGAAACTATTTGGCTTTGACCATCTTGGCATTGAATGTTCGTCTTCAGTGAACTCAATATATGATGACAACAACCATTACAACAAGTCGTGGCAGATTCAGTCAAAAGGGGTCTCATCCAGTGATGAATGGTCCTACCAAAATGCATGGGACTTAGATTCTGTGCCATACATAGGAGATCGGGCAATATATAGTGGGGGTGGCTATTTAGTTGACATGAAAGCAGGTTCTTCAGCTATTTCAAAGATTTCAGAGTTAAATCTTAAGTCATGGCTTGACATCAGAACAAGAGCTTTTTTCATAGAATTCGTATTGTATAATCCTAATGTTAACATGTATAGTTCAGTTATGATAGCTTTTGAATACAGCAGTCCTGGTACACTAACGAAATCATATCAGATATATACCTCGCCTTTATCTGATTACTCGTCTAATGAAGAAGTTACGCGGTTGGTGTTTGAGGTGATATTTTTTGTTTTGACTATGTTATTTACTTTTTTTGAGATCAGAAAGATTAGATTGATTAGTTTTTTAACGTACTTTAAAATATTTTGGAACAAGCTTTCCATGTTCATGTTGATATTGTGTTATACTGCAACTGTGATATTTATAGTGAAATATAGAAGGACAACAATCATACTACATCAGTACAGAGACTCTGGTAAAAACAGTTACATAAATTTTAGTCTTGCGATCCTATGGGACAGCATTTTATTCTACGTTTTGGCTGTGTTAACCACAGTTACAACGATCAAATTTCTGCAACTTTTAATGCTGAATCATAAATTGAAATATTTATTTTCAATGATGGAACATGCGCACAAACCCTTAAAATATTTCACTTTTATGTATGTTATTTCATTGTTAGCGTTTGCATGTTGTGGTAATTTGTTATTTGGCGCTTCGTTAGAAGGTAACAGATCATTCGGATATAGTTTTATGACTCTGATAGAATGTACATTTAGGATTGCCAATTTAAATCAATATCTTGAACTTCATCCTGAATTAGGTCCTGTTTTTATACTTGTATACATATTTGTATTTGTGTTCATTTTAATGAATATGTTTTCTGTCATTATAATGAATGCGCAAAAATCCTTTAAGAAAAAAGGAGTAAGACAAGATGAGAAGTTATCGTTAATGATAAAGTATTCAGTGGGCAGGATCCGAAGAATATTTCGATAATATAATAAATCAGTTAATTCGCAATCATGAGTTTTTCATCAACAACAAGTCCAATACATTTAGCAGTCCTTGTGTTCTGAAATGAAATATCAGTGATTAGGTAATTTTCTTACGTCTGATGTTCTTGAAACGCTGAAAGACACAGTTTTCTACCCATAGGCATAGATGACCTAACAAAGATTCTGCACAAAACTAAAAATCATTTTTTATGAAAATTCGTATGACAGTGTTTTTGAGAAAAGCTAATTCAATGTCAAATAATTCAAAATGTTTTTTCCGATATTTACGTGCATTTTATACATTTATACTTATTTCAAGTGAATATTCTATTTTCTTGTTTCTTTGACAGCATGAAGGTAACTTATACTTTATTCATATATCAATATGCGTTTGTACTTGCTCTAGCAATGTCTTGTCTAAATAATGTCATTAAGATCGAAAGATTTGCCTCCCTATTACCTTCAGAATTTGCAAAATAATTTCCGAGTTCATGACAACTTTTTTTTTTGTGTAGTTTATGAAAATGTTGAAATGGTTAGCAGAGAGTAATTCCAGGTGCCTCGGAGTTTCTGGTTGTTCAGTCTTTGTTTTTTTGTATACTCTTGCTTTATGGTCTGGTGTTTGTCTGTATGTTTTTTTGTTCATCTCGTCAAGTTCAACTGTTGGTGTCTGTTTTTCGACGACTAATAATATTGATAATAAAAGCCGTCTGACAACATTTATAACCTAGAACTATAGTTTTCAAAGACACATGTCTATTGTTCAAGACCGTATGAAGACCTTTAGATGTACTGTTTAAGTCTATTGATTATTTTAAGCACCATACTTTCAAACAAGGAAAGGTACAAGTCATGCTACACTAATCTTGCCAAACAAAAGCTATAAAGCAATCGCAAAACAATGTATTTACATTACCGTACTGAAATGTTCAGCTTTCTTTTATTGGGTTTTAGCCCTTGAACCTGTCCTTTCTAATATTTCTTTAGAAGATAAAATTTACACAATCGGTGAATTCTTTCTTTTAAAAAGATTGTGCTTATTCTTCGGAACCTACACGCAGTTACAATAGAAACATTAAATGGAAGATTAGCTAAGTTGCTTATTCAGTTTCAAAATTGTCTTTGTCTGAGTAAGGTTTTCAATATTGCCAATTGAACACGATTGGATGAAAATACAGAAAAATATTTTATATCTACCCTCTTGAATTTAAAAAAATAAAATAATTTTTTGATAATACATGTATGCTTACATTTCCGAAAACAGCAAAATTACAGAAGTCCAATGTTTTAATCCAAGAGCAGAAAAAGAGCTAATAAAGCGATTACCTCCTCGCAAATTAATTTAACTTATTTTCGAAGTTGTCCACAATCGAAATATTAAGAAAAATGGGACTAACTTTTTTTAATTTGCTCTCGATACGGCGATGCTTCTAAAATGTTTATCGTTATCCGCAAGAAATAAACCTTTCAAATAGATTCATTTTTTCTGTATGTATTTGTAGCACAAAAAGTTGTCTCTGCTTTCTATCACAATTAATTCCATAATTTCCCAAGTATTCTGTATAGAAATAAGGAATATATTTCCCTCATGTAAAGGTCTGATACCTTGTCCGATTTAGCTATACTTAAGTTCCTTTTTTGTTTGATCAGCTCTCCAAAATTTTTGATAGGTTTTGGATTTAAAATATGTTGGCCTCGAGCTTAACTGAAGAGTCATTTTAAATGTCGAAATGAGCAGTAGAATTAGTACCGTTCATGTTTTACTACCACTGGGTCGATACCTCTTCTGGTGGACTGTTAGTCCCCGGGAGCATCACCAACCAAATTACCAGTACTTTGGTACCAGGTTGGGAGGAGAGTTTGGCGCCGGCAAACATGTCTAACCCCACCACGTTTTGTATGTGTCTGTCTCAAGTCAGGAGCCTGCATTTCAGTGGTTGTCGTTTGTTGCTGTATATCATTTGTTTTTCGTTTATTGTATTGTACATGAATCAGGCCGCTTGTTTTTCTTGTTTGAATTGTTTTACATTTGTCTTTCGGCGCCCTTTATAACTTACTACGTGATATGGGTTTGGTTCATTGTTTAAGGCCGTACATTGACCTATAGTTGTTAACGTCTATGTCATTTTGTCTCTGGTGAACACTTGTCTCATTGGCAATCAAACCACTTCTTATTTTCATATAAGCTAAGAAACAGTTTTTTAAATAAATGTAAAAAAAAAAAAAAAATAATAATAAAAAAAAAAAAACTCAAACGGATGAAAGTATCATTTTTGTTTTATTTTTTATCCCTGGATTATCTTCATTAGGAATGCTTAAACCAAGAAATTGGATGCTTTGAAACTTTAATGGGCAGAGTGAGACCCCTCGAAAAAATTTACTGCACGAAGATGCTTATTTTGAGACTTTATTATCATGCCGATGGCATTTAGTAAAAAAGGAAATTGGGGTGGTTTTACTACATTTTGAGCACCACACCACGCATGCACCAATTTGAAATTTTGACATTTTTACAGGCTTATACGTATTAAACTTATGATAAAAAGTCTTTTTGGTGCAAGGTTGGTGCGATTGTTTATTTTGTATTTTTTGATAGCCAAGGAATGTTATTAAAACGCCGAAATTTATCTTTAAAATGCGATTGATTCTTCTGAATAAGTTTAATTTATACATACTTATGCCTATATAGTGTTACTTTTTCGATTATGAATTGTTAACATGTATTTCTATTATTATTTTTGTAAGTAAATTTATTTTTACTTACAAAGACAATGCATAACATATTGCAAGGGAGTCAACAATAATTTTCAGGGAAACAGCTTATTTTTTGAAAATAGGAAATTCTCTTTAACTATAAGATAGACATATGAAATGACAAGATCTGAATCATAATTTCTCATGTTTCTGCTAATCTCAATTTAAAATTGAGTTTGGAAAGGGGAGTATCTTCTCTGGTATTAATGGTGCATCCAAGATTGTTGAACCATGGGGGGTGTAATTCCAGAAACTGATTATACAGAAAGAGGATTTAAACCGTGTTATGCAAAATATTCATATAAATCGTGAAATACATGGGATTTGATTTGTTGACGATCAAAGATAAGAGGGGCATAAGCCCATAAGCCAGATACGCCACCCCGTCCTTTTGATTCTTCACTGGGTAACATGACTTTCAGTAGTTTTGGTTAATGTTAATGTTCATGTGATATGAATTCGCTACTTAAAGATGACACTAAAACACTAACTTAAACCAAAAGTACAAAGTTTCAAGATATGCCATAATACATATGTTAAAATAGATATAGAGAATGGTGCAGTATTTTATAAATGTCAATATCTATATAAAAAAAGAGATGTGTACTTAAATATTAGCCGAAAGACACCCAATTTTGTTTGATCATTTAATAGACTGATGGCAATAGTTTCACAAAAGATCACTCAAATTTTTGTGGAATATGTGATATTGTCATGGCCCTTTTTGCAATGTTTCATGATAAATAAATGCAGAACGTTGCCATGGATACACAAAACAGTTATCATAATTTCACTATTTTAACTGTTGAAAATCAAATCTATAAAAGATACTGATTACATACATATTCACGTGTATGACACAAACAGTTGGATTGATGTATTAGAAAGCCAGGAATAGAAGATGATTTCACATTTTGTGGGTCAATTTAATTTTCTTTCCTAACTGTGTAGTGTTACCTTATAACACTACAAAAAGGTCAAATGTATATCGACTTGAAACATCGACCTATAAACAATAGTTTATAGATTGATTGTTGCTTAACGCCCAATAAAATTGAGAATGGAAAGAATGTACATGCATTTGCATTGCTCATTGCTTTAAAAGGGGATACAGTTCTTTATCCCAAAAGTGCCTGTCATTTCAAACGAATTTTGCTAGACTGGTAGCTTCCTGCTGATTTTTTCCCTACATTTTACCATATATCAATTGTTTCAAATTGATAAAAACTGGAGTAGGCTATAATGATTTTTGAAATCGAATTGACATTGCAGATTTAATTCCATTGATAATTCTAGTAAAACGTTCACAACTTGGAAAAGGATTTGTTTTAGTACATTTAAAAAACCCAGACAATAGATTGTAATTATTTTTATTCCTGACAGTTTGAGGTATAATCGGTCGTTTTCATGTAAAAACAGCGTACAAATGAAGTTTATAAAATCTATTGATTTATTTGTACTTTTCTACATAATTTACAACTTTGTCAGTTTATGTTAAAACACAATGTGGATTTCTTTTTTTTTTTGTTTTTTCCCACGTAATTGGTTTATTTGCCATTGTTTCCTTGCCTTGATGGTCGGTAGCACAGAGAATACTATACTCGAACACTAAAGATCTGTTTACCCTTCTAGAGCACATTTGTTCGGGTTCGTGTTGCTCAGTCGTTTTTTGGTTTTTATGCTCCTGCCATTAGGTGAAAGGGGCATTAAATGTTGGCCTTGACCCTCCTTCCGTCCGTCCCATTTCCGTTTCCACATCCTTCCTTAGGTGTGCCTTATGCCAATTCTATGGACTTCATTCACAATACTAAGATTAGAACTCGCAGACAGAGTTTGGATGTGGGCAGCGAGTCACTTTCCATTCTAGTTATGCCTTTTTATCAATTGGAAAATTGCATCTTTTTTTTTTCGTATCCGCACACTAACTTAAGTTTGCCTAATGTAAATTTTATGAAACTCATACACAATGCTAACAACCAAAACTCGCAGACAAGAGTTCGATTTTGGGCATTGAGTCACTTTTTTTATTTTTCGTTCTGAATTATATTTCTTTATAACTTGGGAAAATTGCATTTTTTTCGCATTAGCACTGATATTAAATGCTTTTTTATAAATAATGTAAATCTGTTTGGGTGAATCATTCTCTTTCTACTACAGTGGCTATTGCTTAGTTTTGATTAGTCGAAGGGTTTATTTTTAATAATCAAAGTACAGATAGTGTGCAGATAATTACTAACTAAGTAACTA